AGTGAAGCAGGCTGGTTTGTGGACAGTGAGAACGTAATACTATCTTGCCTTCAGATGTGTAAGCAGCGTGAGGACACCAAGCACTGGTATAAGGCTTTAGAATGCTGCGTCAGGTTAGGACTTAATCTTTGATGATTGTTATGTCTTTTTACAGAGCAGGCAGATCTTTGAAGGTCAAGTTTTTAATATTAAGGATTCCATGCAGTAATTGCTGTTGAATTAAGTTTTCCATTTTTCAAAAGTTACTTTATGATAAAGACATAGGGTAGCCGATGCAACACCTAATTGAACTTTCTGGGTGCTCTTAATCTTAATTTATATCAGCTAAAATCGTATGTTATCTTGTCTCAGGTTGATGCACATTCGCAATGCTAACTGTAAATATGTTGAGGCAGAGCAGATCTATGTTGAAGCACGTACATACCTGGACAAGTTGTCTGAGAAAGGAATACAAGTTAACAAGTCTGCTCTTCACACTGAGATATGTGCACTCTTGTTTGCCAAAAGTCAGTATGACGAGGTACGTTTTATATGATTTTCTCATTTTATACGTACACTCACACATGCATACATGCACGCACACACACACACACATGCACGCACAACAAAAACCTTGCTTCCAATGGTGCTGTTTGTGTGTATTTTGTATTTATGCTGCTGGGCATGGAATTCAAGGCTTTGCTGAAAAGTAAATGCCACTGCAAGATGTCATGTGCGAACCTTCGTTAAAAGGAGTTTTGATTACTTAATCAGAATAGCTGAATATGGATTTAAGAAACCATGTTATGAAATGGTTGACCTTAAAGTAATTCTAGACTCCATTCTGTGGTTTCTGTTTCTAAGGAATGACTTGCTTTTTTATGGATTCACATTTTACATATTGTATTTTAGGCTTACCATAATGCCATGCTTGCCTTGAAGGAACTTAACTCGTCTCTACCTGCAAAGGTATGCTGTGGGAGAAGTTGATTATGATTTAGTGTCATAGTAAATAAATTAATGTAAATTCTTTGAATAGAATTATAAACCTTGCCAGAAAAATGTACAGTTTGACATTTATTATAAGGTAAGTAGTTAATAAAGCAGTTAAAATGATGTGCCGAAAAGGCATATGTTTCTGTCACGTCCCTAAAATTTTATTGTAATTGCATTCTTGTTTTTATAACATTTTGGAAGGTAGAACTAGTGGGTTTCATTGTTTTTTTTCATCTCCTTTCAGACCATTGTAGATGTATTGAGACAGTCCGCTAAGGTAAGTTTTATAAATATTGATACAGAGGCAGAAAAGCGTAGAAATAATGTCCCTTCTGCATCAGTATAGGATTCAGTTTGGACAAATGTAGGATGATTTCTTTAGTAGCAACTCTTGGTGATAAAATTTTGATTTGTCACTGGAGTTTGAAAGTAACAAAGAGGTTATTTCTTGATACCAGGACTAAGTGCTTAATTCTTCATATATGTTTATTGTCATTAGGGCATAACTTTGTCTTTAAGCAGTTTTTATCAGGCAACAGGACTTCACTTGTAATTTTTTAATTAAGGTTTGTATTGGACAATCTAGCATAATTATGAAAAACAAATTAAACTTTTGTACTTTCAGGCGTGTGTTGTAAAAAGAGAGTTTAAGAAGGCAGAGTTGCTTGTGAAGCATGCAGTTTATTTTGCCAAAGAGTTCTTTGGAACCAAACATCCAAAATATTCTGATGCTTTGTTAGATTATGGTTTCTACTTGCTGAATGTGGATTCTATTTGTCAAGCTGTTCAGGTTTATCAGGTAAATGATAATATAGACTTATCTGGCAGGTTTTCTTCTTCTTCAAGTTATTCTTCTTTATTTTATTTATTTATTTATTTTTTGCCTTAATAGTATCTTGGATACATTATAAAAATAAAAAATGATTAATTGAAGTGAAAGAAAATACTTGATGAAAAATTATAACGAATTAATGGGTAATAATGTTCTAAAATTCAGGCTGCTTTGGACATTCGTCAGTCAGTATTTGGTGGAAACAACTTGCATGTGGCAGTGGCACATGAGGACTTGGCCTATGCTACATATGTACATGAATACAGCTCAGGAAAGTTCAGTGATGCCAGGTAAGTCTAGGAACTGATTTTCAGCACTGCATGTCTTGGGCAGCTTTTTCAAACATTTTTGAGTTAGGCTTTTTACTAACAAAGCCAAAAACATATCCTACTTGGCAGGGGAAATTATCTCGTCTACCTTCTGGCTTCATTGTGTCAAATGTTGTTTGCTTTCCTTTGTGTCTTGCAGGCATCGTCAAGAGTTCTGATAATCTTAATGTAAATTTATATTATTTTTTACCCACAGCATCTTCATCCATTGTATATATTTTTATTTAGTGTTATTTTAATTATTTTACTAGGGAGCATGCAGAAAAAGCCATCAAGATTATCACCAGTATATTGCCTGAAGACCACTTGCTACTCGCATCTTCAAAGAGGGTAAAAGGTAATATAGAATAATGGCTTCAAGTTTTATAATGTGCTACTACTCAAAGTGATTTTTAAAATAACAAACTTGGCTTATGGAGATCAGTGGAATTTTGTGACCAATGAAAATGTATTAATACTATCTTGTAGTAATGACAGAACATGTGATGTATAATTTATAGCTACAATAAAGTTTCCTTGGTTTATTTTGTGCCTAGCACTGATATTGGAGGAGATAGCCATAGACAGTCATAACAAGGAGATAGAGGAGAGACTGTTACAAGAATCACAGGACTTACACCTGGCATCTTTAGCATTGGCTAAGAAGGCATTTGGAGAGAATAATGTACAGACAGCTAAACACTATGGAAACCTCGGTAGATTGTACCAGTCCATGCATAGATATCAGGTTGGGTGATATTTTGGAAAACAGAATGAATTGAATATTTTAAAAAGAAAAGTCACATTAATGTTCTACTTTATTATATTTAATATTATTGTCTCAAAAATTGTTGGTATAGCAGGTCTAGAGAGAGAGAGAGAGAGAGAGAGAGAGAGTGTGTGTGTGTGTGTGTGTGTGTGTGTGTGTTTTCCATGTGAGAAAAATGGCATGCCTATGTATACAACCATTTTATCATCATCTTCTTAGGAGGCAGAAGAAATGCACCAGAAAGCCATAGAGATAAAGGAGCGTTTGCTGGGCAGTGAAGACTATGAGGTGGCCCTGTCTGTGGGCCATCTGGCCTCTCTCTACAACTATGATATGAAGAAATATCCTGAGGCAGAACAGCTGTACCTGAGGTCTATAGCTGTGGGTCAGTAGAATAGACTGGTCTTCTTTGGCTTTAGTAGATTGAATTAAAGTAAACTGAGAAATCTGACCTTTATATTAGAAAGCTATAAAACCAGTGCATACCCATCTTGCTTGTATGGATAGCGAGTCTTTACATCTCATGCCTAACATATATCGCACATTTGTTGAGAAGTTGCTTATAATAAGAAGTTAACAGTAGACTAAATGATTTTGTACATTTTCACACAAAATTCAAAATAAAGTTTTATTTAGAATACCACATTAATAAGTTAGTTTACATCTGTTCACATGCCTTTCAGGTAAGAAGCTGTTTGGTTCAGGTTACAGTGGACTGGAATATGATTACCGTGGACTGCTAAGGTTATATCATTCCCTAGGGGATACACTGAAATCAGTGGAATACAGTCTCATTCTACAGGAGTGGAACCAGATACGAGATCGTACAAATCAGGAGGAAATCAAACCCTTGGACTTTGAGAGGCCTTTAGAAGACACCACACTTCTAGTGAAGAAATTCTTTGAGCTGTGAATGTGGTATCTTAACTGTGTTTGATGCTTCGTATTGTGTTTGACAGCTTTCATGTGCAATAGGAAGATCATCTTTTGAAGTGCATTGCAATATGAACTGCCCGTTTCATAAAAGTTCTGTATACCAGGTAATAATTCCCTATGGTGGTTTCCTTTGTCCATACTTAATAGCTTGGATTTAAGGGTTTGATTAAAGGTTTTATGATCAGTGGATACACAAGTTCAGCAAAAAAAAAGGTGTTTCTTCATAGGACATTCTTTTTGGAATACTGGGGTTCTGGCTTACCTGACCTTGAACATGTCATTTCTTATGAAATATTTAGTCATAAGTAAATGATAATCAGACATACTGAAGATAAAACATTGCAGTTTGATGAAAGGAATGATTTTTGCTTTAACAGCCAGCATATAAAAACAGTGGGAAACATCTTAGCTGAAAATGAGGCTGTTGGCAGTGCATGATGTCATATGAGATTAGAAAATGTGCAAGAATTGAGTTGGGGCTTAATTTATAAGCTATATTGGTGGAAATCATTGTACTGGGAATGTCATCTTAGCAATACAAAAGTGACACGTAAATCATGAGTTTGGACTGTTGAGTATTGTACAATAGCTTGTAATTCTACTACGCCAAATATTTGTGGATGAATTCTGTAGGTTTTTATTCATTACTGTACCAAACGAGCTAGTCTTTCATCATTTCTGGACCCGATCACCTCCATACCCCACCTAATTTTAGTTAAGTTAGGAGACTGGGCTATCTGGACTTATTTCCATTTACATGAACAGTTTACTGCAAGTATGTACAAGACAGGCTTTGTCTTAAATAGAGAGGACTTCATTTTGGTAAATTGAAATATTTTGCAGATTACAATATTGCTAACATTAATTTCAAGCCAGGAGTTTGTCATTTTTGTTATGTAATGAGTGTGTAATGCTTGCAGATTAATTTTGTTAACAATCATGGGTTTAAGTCTTACAGGCCAGTTGGATGGGTGATGAACCACCCTTTTTTCCTGGAAATGGTTGGCTCTGTATCTAAATATGATCTACTGTGCCATTTGAAAATAAAGTACACTTTATCGGAAGAAGAACCTGTCATTTGAAATTGCTGGCTACTGGCCTGTTTAATGTGGACGGATAATGTAACAAGTCCTGGCTTTTTTGTTGTTACAGGTAATTCAGAAATTAATTACTGTTGGTGTTTTTTTTTTTTTTTTTTTGCAGTATAATGCTGCACTGCCAGAAACACCACAGAACATATAATCTTAGGAAATATTATGGAAAAAAATCAAATAACTTGTGTAATCTCCCAATAAGTATCAGTATTACAATGTACATTTAGCACTACTTTAAATGTGACGCAAGTACATCCTGAAAAAAATTATCAACACAGTGGACTTGCTCCAGGATAGGCAACAATTGACATACAGGATTTGTATCACTTAGCTTCAGCTGACTAAACTGTGATATTGTCATTTGGTGCTACTTGTATATAGTGCTTTAAGCTATACAATAAGATATCATGTTACAAGTCATGGTTCGTTAAATGAGACTGCTTGCTGAGCACATATGTGTAATATTATTTTAGTGTCTAATTGTGTTAGGAGAAGTTGATGGGTGACTGCAATTGTGAATGAAGTAAGGAGATTCAAATGTTCGTTCAGATTTCAGGTTGCTAGTAGAAAGTGGGTTATCTAGGCAAACCTAGTGCCTCAGACTGGTTCTTGGTAGCTGCTGCTGTTCTTGGAACTAATTCGTATCAGTTCAACGTCTGGAGTAGTTGATTTATATAACGTGTGTACTGCAAGAGTCATTGGGTGCAATTGCTTTGTCAGCATTCTGCTAGACATGTTACCTGTGTTTGTAGTTCAAGAGCAACATCTTTCCCTTCATTTTATATTCATGCTGTTAAAGAGGAGCTGTTCAAGTATTTTTATTCCATACTGTAGAATCTAATGAAAATATTTAACCTCAGTTTAAGTTATTATTTATGAAACCATGAAACAACTGAAATAATATCATAGAATTTTATTTATTTAGCATACATCCTATGTACTTAGTTAATAATAATAATAATATACAGGGTATGTCTGTCATATAATATTGCCAATATCAATGAATAAAATCACTCCTCACATATGCTTTAGTGAATTTGAAATGTGATGGCTTATGTTTTGATGAATGAGAAATATGTCTGTATACACTAGATGGAGTAATCCATGAATGTGCATCAATAAATCTGAAAATGATAAAAACATGTTCTTCATCTGTCAATGTGTTCCAGTATACAAGCATTTGGTAAAGATGTCTGTCCCCAACCAAAATAAATAAATAAGTAGATAAATAAGTTACTCTGAGCCATTATTCCAAAGCCCAATAGTCTTGGAGTCTGTGTTCTTTGTTCCCCAGCAAACCATAAGGAGCCTCAAATGTTACAGGTACTTCCTTAATCTTTTTCTTCATTTCTTTTTCTATCATCTAAAATATCAGAAATTATACATATAAATAGAATTTATGAAAACTGTTTCAGAGTTATATGTGGATGTAAATTGGTAAATTATAATGTCAGTAAGCAAGGTGGTATTCAATTGCCAAGGTCAAGTTACAAAATTCCTACACAAAAACCTACCTGATCAGTTGTTAGATCAAGGACATCAGCCAGTGGAAATTCCAGTTTAGGAAATGGCTGCTCAATTTTTCTTGCCCACATTGCTACCTCATGGTGATAATGATTCTGTAATGTCTGGAACCAAAAATTCAACATTTCATCTTTCTTAATTAATATATTTTTAACTCAAATTTTCATAAAATGCACTTTACAAAATAAACGATAGTTGCCTTAACATGTTACTTGTCATCAGAGGTCATTTTAGACAAAAGAAAAAAATGCAACTTATAACTGTTACTATACAATAAAGATTCCATCAACCCTCATGCTTCACTGAAACCTCTCAGTTTGAAAAAAAAACAAGGCAGCAAAGCTGTCAAATGTACAGACAAAAAGCAGACAATAACAATGCACAAAACAGGCTACTGTCAATTCTGATGCAAAAGTACATTATGTGTAACTGCAAATTCAACATCAAATTTTAATTATGCTCAACAGGTAATACCAATGTAAGTGAAATGTGTAACAAGCGTAAGGCTTCAGGCCCATGGGAGTTTAAGTTCACACTTTGAAAATGCCAGAATAAGAAAAATGAAAATTTCACATAAAACTGCTTAAATTCAATAATAAATGATAACCCATTTGAGCTGGCTTTCTTATTTGAACTGCATGCCAATCCTACAAATCATACTCGTAAGTTGAAAATAATAATAAGTAACACAGTTTTCTTTTCATGTTTGAGTAGCAGTGCAAAAAGATTTTTGTCAATTTTGATGTAACATTACATAATAAACTACAGAATAATTATCACCAATTTTTGATTATTGACTACAAATAGCATGGACATGTAGAAAATTTGATTACCATTTGGCTTCATGTCCATGGGAGCTTCGAGTCAGACAATGAATATGCCAACATGATAAAAATGAATATNTTATACTTAAATATCTTGAGGAAATAATTCACATGATCCTTTTTTATGCAGAATAAGTTTAAAAAGTCTACATTTTCAAGTAAAGTAAATTCACCTTTTGTGGTGTCAGGTCTGTGTATGAGAACTCTGCAGCTTGGGTGGCGTATGAGGAGGTTGTAGATGAATGGAAGAATGATTAACAAGCCACAAGGGGGCACTGTGAGGGCAAGACGAGACAATCTCTTGGCAAAAGCTGCAACTAGATAGGCTGGAAGATGCCTGAAAGAAGTGAAAAATCCATAAACGTACATAAAATGCTTCTGATCAATGTGGGAGAATAAGCAATCCATTTAATAAGAGATTTATACAATATTTTTTCCAACCTAACAAGTGGCAAAACATTTCAGGTCAAATTTAAAAGTAGGAATAAATTGCAGTTATAGGCACTGTTCTCAAACAGTTATATTTAAGAAACCAGGCAATCTCATAATGTCAACTACTGAAGTGTAACTTACGTAGACGTGAGAAAAAGATCAGCCAGGTGAAAGAATCTTGCCCTGTATTTCACATGGAAGACATTGGGCTCAAACAGTGCATACAGCTTCTTGTAGAAGTCTGGGTAGTCTCTGGAAAATTTCAAAGTGCAGAACTACCATGATCCATGTACAATAAATTGTTTGAATAATATTAAAGATTTTCTATTAAATTTTACCAATGAAAATAAAAATAAAGACCAATTTTCCACTTTCAGATTTTTGTTGAACAGGAATGATACCAGGCTCAAGTACTTACAAATTGTACGTGTGGATAAGCATAAATAATCCATTGAGTGCTAAAAGACTGACAGCACCACCTGTAAACCAAAGTGTACAAAATTCAAATGATAATACTAAGGAAAGCTGCAATTCAATATATTGATCAAATAAACTAGCATTTTTTAACCTATCAAAAATGTGCATAATCAGTGTGTCTATCACTAAAAAAGTGCCTTGATTAAGAAATATAAATTTAATACTATATAAAAAATATATTACATTAGAAAAAGGTAATACCAAACAGTAAAAGCCCTGAGAAATATGTTTTTACAAAAATAAATCTTGACTAAAGACGACAATTTTGAGAAGAGAAACATTGTAGTGCTCAATGTCTGATCACCTCTCCTGATCCAACACTCCAACCCAATACTGAATCGGATATAGTTGCCATAATAGAAAGAGTTCACATACCAATATTATAAGACTCTGTAAGAAAGTCACTCAGAAGAAGAGGGCTGGTCATATAAGGCATCACTTTGTCATGGAGTATAACAAGCACCTTTTTGTAAAGACTGGTTGGCAACTGAAAACATAATAAACACAGGTTGGATGAACATCAAACAGGCAGATATTCAAAGAGAAGGTACCAATTAAATCTAAAATGATCACAATTACAGGGTCTTGTTATTTAGTAACCTTCATCAAATGTTAACTCAATATCATATGAGGTTTTTTTCAGTTTAATAACCCTTAAAATGTAAGCAATATTCAAACGCCTCACCCTTTTTCTCAAAAATTCAAGCCATAAACTGGTAAAAAGTTTTTTCTGGTCTCTCAGTGTATTGATTTTTAAACTAGCATTTGTATCTGAAATGTATGATTGTCATATAAATATAAACAGGTCACTTTGTCCCTAGCATCACAGAAAAACTTTACCATTAACTAATTTTAGAACTTAACATTTCACCAATTATTTCAAATTTAAATTTCTTTAAATCAAAAATGATTGCTATTCTTTTACCTGGCATTTTAGTCATAAAATTAATTAACTTTTCTTCATCTGTAGCTGGTAGTGACAACTGCTCCAAAAGTGCATATACATTTCCATGATAAATATCTAACTGCTCCTGGAAAATGAGTAAATAAAATGTTGAAGTACATTTTGTAAGTCCTTTATAGAGGAAGAAATTTGAGCGAAACCTTCCCACATATAACACAAAATATCCTTTTTGAAAGGATCAAGTTCTACAGTTTTTTAAATGTTTAGCGGGGTAATATGCCAGGCATTTTTTTCTCAAAAACAATTTTCCACTTCATTAAACTTTATAATTTCTTTATATTGTGAAAAAAGTAAAAACACAAGGCTTTTTCACTTGGAGTGTAATGTCTGAGTGAAATGTCAGACATCGAGCACAACAATGTTTCTACAGATGTTCTGTGTGTTTTGAGATGTTCTATCACATAATTATGCTACAGGGGCTTTTTATAACTCCGTTTTAAAAGTTCCCCACAAGTTTACCCTCTGCTATTTAGGTTAAAGATAGTAATTAATTTACAATTTTGAGTATGAGGACTTTTTTTAGATTGATCTTAAAATTATTGTCAGGCTTTTAAGTTTTTAATCTCTCAAAACATACCAGTGCAGCTGTACTGCTAGGATATAATGTTAGAATGTAGAATATTTTTCAACTCAACAAAGTGACAAAACCGGGTTTAGAGAAGAGGAAAATTGTTAGAGAGAGTAATAAATGCCCTTGAATGGCTGCCACATAGTTTTTACTAGCTTTTTAATACAGGTATTCTCACATGGTTGGGTTTTTCTTTCAGCACTTTGTGGGCTATCTTCATTGCATAATATCTAACGTCATCATATTCCAGGAATTCTTGAAAACGCACAATGAGAGGTCTTAGTTCTATTTCTTCAGATAAGAGTGTCAGTAGCAGTTTCTGAAATATCCAAAATATTGACACGTGATGATATTCATATTCAAAATTCATAGGCAAGACATACATATTTGAGAGCTCCTTTTTGGTTCATAAAAAACAAGAGAATTGTTTTGATAAAAAAAGATGTAAAAACAAAATGAGCAAAATGAATCTGAATAATAATACATTTCATTAAAATTTTTAACATTTTTCAAATCAAGTATTTTGCAATCAATTTGATATGTAAGCTGGGTAACTGTGTGCAGTTAACTGACCTCAAATAGTACAGCTGGAAATGCCAGATGTTTTTCTGATAATTTTCTGAGTGGATTTTGTCCTTCTGCTGCCACAAACTTCATCAATGTGCATAAAGCCAACTCCTGTAACAGTTAAGAAATATGCTGCATAAATCTATATAGCATACCACAAGAAAATATTTCACATATTTAAAACAATGCCAACGGTTAAATGACTTTTATTTCTATACTCTACTTTGTACAAAGGAAAGTTCTCATTGTTCATTCATGCTACAATCTGTTTCCTGTTGTATAATTCATACATACCTGTACTGTGCTGAGTTGGTGAGTTATTAGCTCTAGCATCCTTTGGCTCACATCAGAGTAGCGCTCTCTTAGCCAACATCTGTACTGCTCTTCTGAGCTAAGATCTAAATGTCAAAATGGTTAAAATTATCTTATTTCTTTCATCCATATCCATTGGCTGTTATTATATTAACGAACCATTAAATGAGATATTATCTTTGTATCTATATCTCAATATGAGCATACGAAAATAATTTTTGAAAAAAACTAATTTAAGTTGAATTTTTTTACCATCATAATTTGAAAAAAAAAATTTATTCAAGTTAATATTTTTACCTTCAACATCATCTTTTGTGGTAGGTATTCTTTCTAAATACATAGAACCATGAGTAATTAAGTTGGAAAATATGTTATAAAATGCCCTTATACAGGCCAAAATCACCTCTTCTTCTTCAGACTGGAAATATAAATAAAGCCAATTACTGAACTGAAAATAAAAATACAATTTATAATTGGATGAAAACAGAAAGGCAATATTGACCAATTAATATATCTGAGATAAAAGGGTTACAAATACATTTACCAGTATATCAGAAATTAAGTTTGTTGGCAAAAAGTGACAGCTAGGGGCTTTCCTGAATTCTTTTGAACCTGACCAAGTACTAATCTGAATTCACATAAAATTATTTGTTTTGGATACGAGTCCTTAACTACCTTAAAAAATCATTCTTCTTCAATAGTCTATTATCTACTACTACTACTACTGGCAATGCAACCTGCACTAGTGCAAGGGAAGTATGGGACTATCACACGCCTCCCTTTAGAAGATCTGTCAAATATACAAACCTCAGACAATGATATGATGTCCACTAGACAGTTAGCATTCTTCCTGTCACATAAAAACTCTTTTGTTTTAGACTTAATGCTTTTAATTTCGTTCTTATTTGAGAACTTCACGTCCTTCCTCGTGTTTGACGGCATGGTTTAATGATGTCATCCAATCAAAACATTTCTTTCATTTTATCTAGGGCAATTCTGTATTACAAGAACGAGGCTCATGTATGCACGCATGCGTGTTTCTTCTTAATGACGAGAGCGCCATTTGCACTGACGAAGAGAAGAATTTTTGACCCAGATACAGGAAAATGAAAAACTGAAAATTAAGGAGTAAAATTTCAGAGGTCATTATCTGACTGCGTCAAAATGTCGAGATAATTAATCGTTCTTGCAGGATTGAGGGTTTTCGACCACGGATGGGTCACTCTGCCAAGTGAAATTTGTGACTGAAATTTTGGTAAGTCATTTCCAGGTGGGTAATTGCAAGATGGCGGGTTTCACTGATTTGGCGGTAGAGCTGCATGGTGACTTTTCGTCATATATAATAATAAAACATCTAATACAAATTCTTGACAAATTATCTTGATTGCATAGTTGCATTTGGGTAGTTAAATCTATAAGTGACAATTGTCATTCTTCGATCGCGACGAGTGCCGGTAGTTTCCCCTTTGTGTCCGGAAGCGGGGTATTTGAAATAAAGGTCAAATCGACGACGCAAGCCTCTTATGCATGTCTGATCGCCAGTTGTTTAACTTCATTAGTAACTTCCTTAGATTTCGTATACTTTGCATGCATTTTTGACAATTTCAGTAAATGCAACCTATCAGTAGCTCAATCAAACAAGATATGAATCAACATCGAAGTGAAGTAAAATTTTGTAAAATGCAAAATTGTTCTCACAATTCTATAGCAAAATTGTTCCTCTTTATGAAGATGATCCATATTTCAGCTTTGATGCAGACAAGCCATGCAGAGAGGCCCAGCTCCTAACCAACAACCACCATCCACAGGTGTTCCCAATGCAGGATCACAGCAGCAGTTGCCAACACCAGGCATACAGCAGGCGCAGCAACAACATGTGGGCAGGGGAGCAGGAGTGGGTGGGTAGCTGAAACAGTTTTGATCTCTTTACACTTTACTTAAGAAGTCTTTTAGGATTAGAAAGAAAAAATATTGCAACTAGATGTTTTGATGCAAATATTTTAAGACTGTTAAGATACAAAAGTCTGATTTTTGCTTCAAGTTTTCTTTAATGATCCCCAGCCCCCTTTCCATAAAACAACTGAACTATTTCTCCATTTTTTAAACCCAAAATTATATCTGAATTATAACAACTATTTATTAATGTTTACACCCTATTTTTACAGTCCAGCACCAAGCAGTTCGACCAGGAACAGCCCAGTCCACACCGTTTCCAAACTTGTTGCAAGGTATGTACTTCATGTAGCTAATCTAGTATATATATATATTGTACTAATTTATCTGATCTTTGAACTGATACATACCCAAGCGCACAGCATATAAAATGAATTGGAATTACTATTCATAGTAATTGTCATGAGTGATATTTGATTTTTTATTTGTCAGAGCAGTCAGTGTGTTTTTCTTTTTTTTCAAGCAATGTCTGGTTTGTCTGCTGTCAACTCTGCCCAGCAGCCAGGGATAGCTCAGACAGGTCAACTGGTATACCAGCGTCCACCTGCCTACACAACCCCTGTCCCTGCAGCTCAACATCTAGGTCAAAGCCCTGCTGGGGTGGGGACAAACCCTACCCTAGTCAATCCTCAGCCAATACAAACTATATCAACCCAGTCTCAACAAAGGACTAGTGTTGGTACGAATGGAAACTCCGCCTTCCTATTGCCAGGTATAACATCGTTGGAAGATGCCAATTTGACAGTGGCGGAACAGAGATCCAGCATGGATAGCCCAGTGCCTAGGAAGAAGATCAAACTAGAGGAGCAGCCTCCTGCTACAGAGGAGATTGGTCTGTTAAGGAAACAGATATGTGACACAATGTTAACAGACATGAAGAAAATCAAGGATATTTACACTGAGAATCTAACAGAGCTGTTTTTTCTGCAAAGTGGAGGGAATTATGTAGACTTTCATGCTTGGCTTAAGAAGCCATCACCACAGCTGACATATTTCCTGAATTCTGACAAACTGGACAGTGATGATGAGGAAAATAAAGAGGTAGGCTTGCTCTAATACATCACTTTGTAGAAAAAGACATTGTACAAGTACATCGAATTAAAATGCAACCAGTATTGTGTAAAAGTTCTGTAATTATGTGATTGATATTGGAACTTACTGATGTAATTTAGGAGTGATTTGTAAACATTGATTATCATTTTCAGACCAAGTTACCCTCTGCTCCTGGTGGCCTTTCCTTGTCCAACTTGGTACCTTTTCCTGCCCAACCAGGTAAGTGCAGGCATTATTAGCAAATCAAGAAAGGCATTTTGTTCCTCATCTGTTTATGAAAATATTTGGAAACCACCTAACATACTTAGGAATTGCTGTTACATCTTGCTCCAAGGGATGTGTTAATAGTAATGTAGTTCTGAATAAAGCAATATGCACTCTAAATATATTATTAAAAGTCTTAGAACTTGTTGAGTTCTGATACATGTAGATCCATAGCTATTGTTCTGTACATCATTCTCCAGATCTACTCCCTAGACTTACAGGTTCTTTTCTCTGTTTCAGTTAAACCAGAACCTCTACAGCCACCTGCTGCTCAGCTAGGTAGTACAGTGCCCTCTATAGTACAGCAAGCTCCTGCCCTTGCAAAAGCCATGACAGAAAATATTGGTATATCTAACATAAAAACTGGAACTAGTGGAGCTGGGTAAGGGGATAATTAAGATGATTTATCTTATCAGATATAAGTCTCCCCTACTAAGACTGATCCTGTGGTTGTTTGGTCCTTATTGTAAAAAAAAATCAAACGAGAATTGTACTTGCATATTAAATATATCATAGCTTTTATAAATTTTTAGTAACCGAAACAAGCAGAACATGGAATTAAATGAGAAAATTGAAAAAAAAAAAAAAGAAATCGATTTCCTTATTTTGTGTTCTTCTTTCTAGCACTCCATCTGTTCAAACCCCAAAACCTCCAAAGACTCCATTATCACCGACCAGGCTAGCAACACGGCAGCATTCTATATCTGCAGTGTATGATAGCACCATAGGATCTCAAGAAGCGATAGTGGAAAGAGCTAAACAGGTCAGTTGTTAAGCATGTGACTGGTCTCTAATTGTGGAAGTGTTGTACTTGATGCCATCAACTCATTCTGGGCTGGCATTCCTCTGGTGCTTGTTCAATTACATGGTGGCAAGATAACTGCAGGTCTGCTTCCAGACCTAATATTTTACAATTAGATCTGGCAATGGACCATGCTACATAGCAATTTAAGCAACTTAAAGGAAGTTTATTTCTTATTTTATTACAAAGCAACTCTGCCCCTCATGTCGCAATTTCTGTTGTCTAGGAAGCCCAGGTAATGCAGAGGATAGCTGACCTCAGAAAGGAGGGCCTGTGGTCCTCTAAGAGGCTGCCCAAGGTTCAGGAAATGCCAAGGAACAAGGCTCACTGGGACTACCTCTTGGAAGAAATGCAGTGGCTTGCTGCAGACTTTGCTCAGGAAAGGAAATGGAAGAAAGCTGCATGTAGAAAGGTAAGGCTGTGGCAAAGTTTACTTTAAGACAAAAGTTTGGTTGAATGTGTGCAAATTTGTCTAATAAATGGAAAGAACACCTGTAATTGAGTCAGGGTGTCATTAAGGTTTTATTTTGTTTCTTATATCTTATAGATAGCAAGCATGGTGTCTCGGTATCACAAAGAACAAGAACTTAAAGCTCAGAAGGCGGAGAAAGAGGAATCTCTAAGACTGGTCAGAATAGCCAACTCCCTTGCTAAACAAGTAAAGGAATTCTGGGCTAATATAGAAAAGGTAAGGGTACAAAATAAGATTTAAATGACCTTTTGTCTGTTTCAAAGTAGGTGAATAATCAAATCTAACCATGTAAATTTTTCTTTGGCGCATTACAATCATGTAAATGATTCAATAAAAGATTAAAATACGTAATTTTTTCTAAAATTCAGGTTGTGCAATACAAACAGACAAGCCGATTAGAAGAAAAAAGGAAGAAGGCTCTAGATCTTCACCTCAATTTCATAGTAGATCAAACAGAGAAATACTCGTCCTGGTTGAGCCAGGGTCTGACAACTAAGAGCACTACCTCTTCAGTACAAGGTTCTATTGTGTCTAGTCCTGAACACTCACAGGATGGTGAGTATTTGAACTGCTATACTTTATATATCTGTATGGTGGCCACCTCCGCTTTGAATTTTGACTTTTGTGTTATTATTCACTGTAAGCGTGGCCAGAGTGAGTGCATGGTAATTTTTCCTTGCTAATCCTTAACACTGGATAGTATGGCAGATGGCCTTGCAACAATTGCTAGCAAGATGGTAGTATTTGAAGTTTACTGTGATGAGGATGTTTAAGTAGCATGACATTCAACCAGAAATTTATTTCATTTTATGGTCTGCCAAATACAGGGTTTTTAGTTTTGTGTGTGATTTGCCTTCATCAGTAGTGTGTGCAAGTTTTACCTTAATGTAAACTGTTTCAGATGATGACTTCCAGCCAGATAAGGATGAGAGTGATGATGAAGAGACAATAGAGCAGGCAGAGGCAGAAGGCATGGATGATGTAAGTTGGTGTTTTATGTTTTTCTGGGATAATTGCAGGGTGCAGATTAAGCACTCACCAACTGACCTATATCTGTGCATTTTCGTTATGGGAGCATGTTTCAATTCTTTTTGCTGAGGGTTTTATTCTTTCTTGAAACAGTGATAAGAACCATCATTTCAATGTCCAACATTGAGGAGTGGAAAAATTGCACTGCACTGCACACTGAAATGAGAGTTACATAAGGGGCATCTTTTTCTATTTGCATGGACAGCATCGACACTTAATAAATGTGAAATGAATGTCACGTTTTCTCACAAAAACAAGGTAAACATCCAATACTTAACCAAATGTGTGTTATATTTAGGAGAGCACCCAGCAGGAGATAGAAGCCTTACAGAAGGAGAGTGAGCTGCCCATAGAAGACCTGATTAAGACCCTTCACCCAGAGTACCTGGAGACACCTGCAGGGAGCAGCACAATGGGCAGTGATGTGGAGGCAGATGATGAAGGGGCAGATGAGGAGTTCAAATCTGCCGAGGAGGATGAGGTTGATGATGAGGATACCATTGAGGAGCAAGAGAAGGCTGAAAAGAAGGATTATAAAGGGGAGCTGCAGGATTTGAAGGATGAAGGTAATGATTGCTACTTATGTGTTGCAGGCGTCTAACATCTGTATAGTAGAAAATGGTGTGATGGAAAATCTGAATGTTGTGAATGTTGAATTTTTACACACAATTGATCATGTAAGTGGTTCTTAGATTCTTGTTTATTTAATCTGTAGGTGAGATGAGCATTGAGGAACTGGCCAAGAAATATGCAGGTGCCTATGACAGTGATTTTGAGATGCCTGAGTCCAGTGATGAAGGAGAGACCTCAACAGAAGAAGAAAGTGGTAGGTCATGTTGAGCTTTAATGCTGAAAAAGTTTTAGTAAAATGCTGGAGATGGACAGGTTTAAGGGTTCCAATGACAAGCATTTAGTCTTAAGTCATAACATTTTGTTAATCAGTGGGCATGATAAATTAAACACATGAATTAATGTAAAAATTGTTATTTTTAAAATTAAAGAATCTACAGAAGAAGAGGAAGCCTCTGATGCATCAGAAGAATTAGAAGATGTGGGCATGGAATATCTCATTCACCCAGAGAACAAACCAGAGGATATACAGGTTATTATTACTGACTTAAGTTTCCCCAGGCTCACACCATTGTGGATTATCACTATATTCATGAATGGAAACATTTTACTGGGGTAAAGAAAGCCAGTCCCTTTTAAAAACTCTCAGGATTGGCTGTAAACCCAACTTGAGACCCTGTCGAAGGGAACATTTATTTTCACTAGTTCAAATTCAGTACAATCAGTTTTGTTAGTTTCATTATTTTAATTTGTAAAACAAACAACATTTAGTGTTTTGATGCATTTATAAGTCAACTATTATTCATTACACTGGGCATAGGCTAAAACTTAATTGAACAACTATGGAACTACAATCATTATTACATATATGATGGATTTGTGAAATCTGCCCATAGTGTAAAAAAAAGGGCTTTCCTTGTGAAAGGTGTTCAGTAATGATTGTTTATGTGTCATAGGCTGGTGGTGATTCCACTGAAACTAAAGGTCCTGGCAAAGAAATCACAGATATAGCTGCTGCAGCACAGAGTCTACAGCCCACAGGGTATACACTGGAGACAACACAGGTGAGTACTTCTCTCCATATACACTCTTCATGTAATAAGTAACCCAATTTAAGTTTTCTGATAGAAGTAACTCTTTGTTGAGGTCAGTCGTCACTTCTGCACTCCCTAATGTGCTGAAGATGTGCTATCTCTAGTGCCTCAAAGAGAAACCCTGCCATATTGCTCTGAAAGTATTTACATTGCAGTACTTTCAAATCTCAAGGCAGGTACAGATTTCAACATAGTGAGTACTGCTTAATATGGTCCTGTTGTTCATCCTCCAGGTGAAAGTCCCTGTTCCATTCCTGCTGAAGCACAGCCTGCGTGAGTATCAGTACGTGGGTCTGGACTGGCTGGCTACGATGTATGAGAAGAAACTTAACGGAATCCTGGCAGATGAGATGGGACTTGGGAAGACCATTCAAACTATAGCATTATTGGCTCACCTGGCCTGTGAAAAAGGCAAGTTGTCTTCACAAAATTTGATGTCAGATAGTTGTAAAAAAGGTTAAATAATTGTTGAAATCCACTTAGAAGTTTGGTATTGAGACATAGAGTCACTTTCTTGTTTAGCCAGTAGCATGGTTAGTGCTAAATGTCTCATACATAAAAGACATTTTGACGTTATGCCCTGAACAAGTGAACTGGTTTTGTTCAGGTACCTTGTCAAGAACATTCAAATTTTTATATACTTGGGAGACTGAAACCCTGTTGATAACGAAGATCATAATGGTGAGAAATGTGATATTTTAGGTGTGTGGGGTCCTCACTTGATTGTGGTACCTACAAGTGTAATGTTGAATTGGGAGATGGAGCTCAAGAAGTGGTGCCCTGCATTTAAAATCCTTACATACTATGGGAATCAAAAAGAGAGAAAACAGAAAAGACAGGTATAGTCTACTGCTATGTTTTATGTCGTCAGTATTTTTTTCCTTTTTTTCAGCATTTTGGGGTTTGTGGAGGTTATTGAAAATCTTGTCATGATAAACTCTTTACTTTCGTTGATTGATAACGTCCTCAACTTGGCAACTTTAAAAACGGCAAAACTGAAATCAAAGAGACTCACTTTCAACAGAGAAAAGTTGATTGTACATGTAGAGAAATTTTGAATTTTATTTTAGGGTTGGACCAAAACCAATGCTTTCCACGTGTGCATTACTTCTTATAAACTTGTGATACAAGACCACCAGGCATTCAGGCGGAAGAAGTGGAAATATTTCATTCTTGATGAGGTGAGGGATTTGCATTTTCCTTAGTTATTGGGAGGTGGTCATCTTGTTGCTATGATGAACTTTTTATTGCTTACCAAATATGACTTCTTATGATTTCAACTCACAGCGCTCTGAGCAACAATTACAGAAATATTTAAAAATTAACAAGATGTTAAACCATAAAGGAGACAGTTTTGGGGCATGCTGAAGTCTTTCTGTTTTATTTTTTCCAGGCACAAAATATAAAAAATTTCAAGTCTCAGAGATGGCAAACCCTCCTGAACTTCTCTAGCCAGCGGAGGTTGCTCCTGACAGGTACTCCCCTCCAGAACAACCTGATGGAACTGTGGTCCCTTATGCACTTCCTGATGCCCCACGTGTTTCAGTCTCACAGGGAGTTCAAGGAGTGGTTTGCCAACCCACTGTCAGGGATGATTGAGGGCAGTCAGGAGTACAATGAGAATCTCATCAGGCGTTTACACAAGGTAAATGACTGGCTTGGGTGCTTTTATTGCCTTCTTTTTTGTTTCATTTGCTTGGAAAATGCAAGGTTACAGCACTTTTCTATGCTTTATTCTTGTAATTGTGCTTATTGTTTACACAAAGAAGTCATCACAGTCTGCACTAATCAATGTTCCTGCAATATGATCTGCATGAGGCATAATCACTAGAATGCTATTTCCCCATGAGCATTGTAGATCAAGGGTCTCGTATAGCAAGTCTGGTCTGCACTGTGTGCTTGCTGCTATTGTCTTGAGCTTAAGTGCATGAACAGAGACAACTATGCATACTGTAATTGCATGATTTGAGGCTTCTACTGACTGGAGTGCTTTGCTTACAATGAGCATTTTGGATCAAAAGTCTCAGAGAGAAAATCTGAGCATGCAGCAATAGTTTATATATTTACAGAAGCTGTGTTGCATGAACAGACACATTTTCATAATTCTCAAAAAATGATAGAAAGTGAATAGGTTGGTAGGTGTGGGTTTAAATACATCTTGGTTGTTTTAGGTGCTTCGTCCATTTTTACTGAGGAGGTTAAAGGCAGATGTGGAGAAACAAATGCCAAAGAAGTATGAACATGTTGTGATGTGTCGCCTGTCCAAGCGCCAGAGGTTTCTGTATGACGATTTCATGGCCCAGGCAAAGTATGCTTACAATTATTTATTTTTATTTTATTTATTTTTTTTATTTTTTTTTTAATCATAGTATACTGATATTTTCATGTTTGAACATAGGTTCAAGTCAGATGTTTCATAGTGATGGCATTTTGGTCAAGATATTCAGTCTTTTTCAACCAAATCAAAATCAAAAATTTTTTGGATTCCAGGACAAAAGAGATGCTGGCGTCTGGGCATTTCATGAGTGTCATCAACATTCTCATGCAACTCAGGAAAGTGTGCAACCATCCCAATTTGTTTGATCCACGTCCTATCATGTCGCCATTCCAAACTGAGGGCATCACGTACCAGACAGCTTCTGCTGTGCTAAGGGCTCTGGACTATGATCCATTCAAGGTGAGGATGGGAGAAAAGACCTTATGTGTTGAGGCATAGAGTCACTGGTATGTTTACCTCATAACATAGGTAGTGCTATTTGCCTCGTACAGTAAAAGTCTGATCTTTATGCCCTGGGCAAATGTTGGTTTTGCACAGATACCTGGTCAGAAACATTTGAATTTGTAGGGAAACTAGACATAGACTAGATAAATAGTTGACACCAGATCCACTGCAGTGCATCTGTATCACAAACCTTCATTTTACAATTCTTTATATTTCAGCATGTAAACCTGCAGGCTCTCAGTCCAAGCCTTGCTACCCTGGAGCTGTCCCTGCCTGCCTATGCAGCCCACAGAGTGAAGAAACTACAGACTCCCAAACCTCTCATAGTGGAAATTGACAGTCAACCAGAGCCAGTGCCCAGACCAAAGCCTTTCAAACTAAAAGACTTTGTACTCAGGAGTGCATCGCCTAGTGTTCAGGTAAGCTGCCTCGAATTGTTCTCGAAATCTTTGAAGTTAAAACCTTATGGTGCAAGGTTAAATAAAGAAGATGAGGAAAATGCATTTTGGTATGATTTTATGCATTGAAGAAAGTTTTATTTTAAAACTTGTTAGTTAGGTTTGGTAATCTAATGAGACACAAAATCACCAGTTGGTCTTGATGTGGCTTAATGGATTGAGTTGTCTCAGACAACAAGTCTGCTCCCAATCATCTGATTGTTTCATAATAAGATTCTCGGGTGTGGAAACAGATACAGGTGTAATTAGGGTTCACATAGTACAGAGGAGGTTTCTTTAAGAGGAACCGAGTCCTGGTTGATGGATTTGAATAGTCTCTTAATTATCCACATTTCTCATTCTAGAGTGGTCGCCTGTCTCCATTTGCGCCCATCCAGCAGAGATCAGCCTCCCCACTTCCCGGGAAGTCTCCTTTAACAAGGTCTCCAGCCTCCACGCCCACTCCTCTGCAAGGTAAATCTTTTATCACATGTATAGGAAAGTTCTCAATCTCTTGAATATTGTGTAAATATTGCTATGATGAACTATTACTTGCTTACCAAATATGAATTTGGTGATTTCAACTCACAGCGCTCTGAGCAATATTCCATGTAAAATAATTCTGTCTCTGTTTGATCTGGTTTGATAAAAAGGTTGTGTTTTTGTTTTGATAAGCTAAAACAGCCAATATTGTATTTCAGTGAGAATCCAAGGCTCCCCCTCCCCCTCTCTGATTGTTCCAACCTCAATCAATACAACCCAGCCAGAGCAGTTGCCAGGGTATACGGGGCCTGCTAGAGCTTCCACACCTGGGCAAGGTAAGAAACATTGTGGAGGCAAACTGATGTCATTGTCAGAACATACATGTAACGACTTAGTGGTTAGAAGCAGGGACTTTTATTTATTTATTTATTTATTTATTTATTTATTTATTTATTTATTTAATTGAAGTAAGAGATAAGTGTTTGGGTGGTAGCAGTTTTTATTTATGGGATTTGTGGATATTTAACTTTCATCTGCTCTTTTTAATTAGGCCTTTATCTAGCTACTCCCCTGCCAAGCACTTGGATAGTTGGATTCAGCCTGTACTGTACAGAATTGTTTCCTTTCAGGTCTATTACTGGCCTCCAGCACCCAGTCTCTGTCTACTGGTCAGCTAGGCAGCCAGTCCCAGCCTATCACTGTACAGATACACCACACCCAGCAAGGTACCAGGCTATTGATCCCATCTAGCCAGCTAACACAGCTACCTGGTATTGCTTTTACTTTCCACTTTATCTATTATGCACATATTCATACAATGGCAAGTTCAGTTAGCTTGGAATCAAGGCAAAACTGAACTTTCCTGTGGTGTGAGATGACAGCACTTTTGCATTGTGGTTTCTTAACCTAGTAGTTTGATCAGTAGATGCTTTGATACTGTGTTAATTAAAGACTCCTAGTTCCCACTTTGAAGTGTATTTAAATTTCCTCTTAAGCATTTACATTGGTGTTTCTAGTTCAATTGTACTAAGCTTGGTAATCTAGTTCCTTTGAATAGAGGTAGAGCATTAAAGGGATAATAACTCTTCGTATGAGATCTATATTTCACAATAAAAACATTGTGAACAACTCATAGAAATATAATATATTCTGTTGTACCACAAAAACGGCAGTTATAGCTATTATTCTGATATCTGAGCTTGTCTTTAGACCACGTGACCTCCATTGATGGCTATACTCTGTTATAATCTCTTATTAGATTATAACAAAAAACCAAACTTTTTAGAAAAAACCAGGGACTAACTTTTAATGTAAAAATGGATTCATTAACCTTTGGTAAGTATGGGAAAATTGTTGTTTACTCCAGGAAAATTCATTTTTTGGCCAAAACGAAGAGTTATTATCCCTTTAATGTTTTGGCTGACTTTTGAAATAAGAGCCCCGCTCTATGGTACTTCTAGTTCCTAAGCTTTCCATTTTGTTTTCAGCTGGTTTCCTACAGATAGTACAGAGTTCCACTGGTCAGCACATACTGACCACTGCGGCCACCTCTCAGGGCACCCCAGTCCAGGCCGTGGCTCCGGTCCAGACCACCACCACCACCACTGCTGCCTCGGCCAGCCCTGTGCCCAGCACCACTGTGGTCAGGGCAGCTTCTCCTGCTGCCTCAGTGGTCACAGTGAGGTCAGCCTCCCCAGCCACGTCAGCAGCAGGGGTGAGGGCGGGGTCTCCTGCAGTGTCCATCACTGGGACAGCTGTGAGAGCTGCCTCACCTGCAACATCAGCCTCAGCGGCAACAGTTACTTGTAAGTGGGGAAAGACAGATGTACAGTGTTGGCCTTCATGTTGCCAGTTTGGATTAATACATTTGATACTTGATATCTGAAAGCGAGTCAATTTCTTAATTTAAAAAAAATGGGGGCCCCCAAATGTGTTTGTAGGTGGCTCATCATGTTCAAAAGTATGTTTAAACAAAATTTGTAACCAACTATGAAAAATGTTCAGAGTAATAGAAAAATTTATTCTGTATTTTAATTACTATTTCAGTAATGAATGGCCTTCCTCCAGTGAGTACACCAACCACTCCTGTCTCTACCCCTAAGTCTACACTGCCTGTCAGCAGTTCAGTAGTAGTTACACCTAAACCTGTGGTACGGGTGTCTCCCATGTCTGTGGAAAGCGCAGCAGTTAGTGGTAAGTTAGGTCTTTAACTTGTTAAATATGTTGATAATGTGGTAAAAACAAACCTGAACTTAGAAAGAAAAGTGATGTGATGAGATTAACGGATTCCCCTTCATGATGCATTCATGACAATCCGAAATCTGATACTTTTTGATTACCTTTTGAAGTAGTCAGATGACTAACAGAAAACATAAACTCCTGATGAACATTATAGTAAGAACTGTATATATTCCAACTCCTGAAGCTAGCTCTAATTGTCTGAATGTTAACAATCTCCAGCCTCATCAAGCCAGCCTGCAGCATCCACCCCTAGTAAATCTGTGATTGGTACTAGAAGCCAGAGAAAAAGCTTAGAGAAAGCCAAAGAAGCTCCAGAAAAATCACCATTTTATTTGGTAAGAAGTGCACTTTTCAGTTTTTGTTGCCTTAAAGCATTCTGCCCAGAAAAAGACATATTGCATTCCATTGGCATGTTGTTCATATGATTTTTAAATCTTCATAATTTGAGATAAATGTGCAAAATATTTATAGCATTCATTTATTTTCAAAAGGAGTCCTTAGCACAAAAAAGAGCAGAGCATCGTCAAGAAAAGCTGGAAAGGATAGCTAAAATCAATGCCAGGCACTGTGACTGGAAACCAGTTTATGGCCAAGATTTATGTGCTGCTGTGGATGTTCTCAGTGGATTAAAAAGCACTACAGTGCTGGACAATACAATGCGTGGCTTGGGCTATGTAAACTGTTATCATGCTCAGCATAGGAGTAAGCTATACAACCCTGAGATGTACTACAGGTGGACACAACCTTTAATGGATATTGTACACACACCTGAGAAATATGTGGAAGAAATGAAAGACATTTTAGAAAGGTATCGCACAATTTGTGTTCTGAAATACAGAATAGTGGTGCTGTAGAAAAATGGTTTTGAAATTCTATAGTTCAGATGATGGTTATTGTTGAAAAAGCAAAGGAGGAGAAACCAGTTGATGCTATCTATCAATATCAATTGTTTTAATAATCAATAAAAATTGTCTTCAGCTTATTAATTAACTCAAATTTATTTTTCAGATATTGCTTTTTGATACCCCCAGTCAAAGCCCCAGAGATCACTATGCATGCCTCTCATCCCCCTCCCTCACTGCTAACAGAGAGAAGAACCAGGTACTTCACCCTGCAGACTGCACTCTCGCCTAAAGCCATGTGCCTGCACAAGATGGCAACCAATATGATGGTGTGGTTCCCTGAACCCAGACTCATACAGTATGACTGTGGTATGTGTAATTAATATGCAATTATAATTTACTCCATGTCAGAAGTTGAAAACATAATCTACATTTCAGTTGCATAACTATATTTAGTAATTATTGACAATTTAAAAGTTTTAGTTTCAGGTTAGCTTATTGCGAATATATGTTTCATTATAGAACAATTTCCTAATTTATTTGCACATGACAAAATGTCTATTGTAGTGACATGTGCCACTTAACAATTTTCTAGGCAAGTTACAGACCCTAGCTGTGCTGCTGAGAAGGCTGAAGAGTGAGGGCCACAAGGTGTTAATATTCACCCAGATGACCAAAATGCTGGACGTACTGGAGGTCTTCCTCAGCTATCACGGCCACAGGTACCTCAGACTTGACGGTACAACCAGGGTAGAAATGAGGCAGGCTCTCATGGAGAGATTTAACATGGACAAGAGGATATTTGCCTTCATTTTGTCTACGCGCTCTGGTGGACTGGGAATGAACCTTACTGGGGCAGATACTGTGATTTTCTACGACAGCGACTGGAATCCAACCATGGATGCTCAAGCTCAGGACAGGTGCCATAGGATAGGACAGACCAGGGATGTTCACATATACAGGTGAGGTTAATACTGTCACAGAGTTTTGGCAGACCTGAGAGGAAAATATGAAGAAGTTTAAAGCAATTGAAAATTGTGCTGTTTTTATTAAAATTTATAATGTTACAATTATCAAATGGTGAACTGATCAGTTTTTATAGTAAACTAATTCTATTTTAATTTACTTGATTTTATCCAGGTTAATAAGTGAAAAGACAGTAGAAGAAAATATTTTAAAGAAAGCTAGTCAGAAGAGGCTACTGGGGGATGTGGCAATAGAAGGAGGGAATTTCACAACTGCTTTCTTCAGACAGGTAAGAAGAGGAATTCAAACAATGATATTAATAAAATGTCTTGAAATTAACGAATAAATTGATAAAAAAGTAATTGAAAAATGTCTATCTAGTTCTATTAAAGCTGTAGGTCTCATGGGTGAAATTATGTGTTAAAAGAAAAATGTATATACAGGTTGTTAGAAAATTGGCCATTTACCAAGACCAGTTGACCTGTTTGAGTTAACTGTGTTGTGACCTTGGCCACAGATCAACCACCATTAGGTGGTCAGCTCTCTCATCAAGACTGACCTCCTAGTGGGACATGCATCTCCTCTTGTTGACCTAGTGGGACATGTCTCATTCATGTTGACCTAGTGGGACACATTTCAGCCATGTTGGCCTAGTGGGACGTACATCTCTCATAGACACAAGTAAAAGCATTTGTGTCAATATAATTTCAGAATACTATCCAAGAGCTGTTTGAGGAGCCAAGTGGCTTGGACTCTCTGGTGAAAGAGAAGGCTGAGAAAGCTGCTGCACAACAGGCAGTGAAGACAACACAGCCAGCTCCAGAACTGTCTGAATCCCAGCTTGAACAGGTAATTTAACCATAAAAGATTGCACTGGTAAGAAATAATGTTAACCACTGGCCAAACGGCTGGGAATAAGCTGAATGAGTGAAATAATTCAGATGTTTGTGTTGTATAGGGTAAGGCAACATGTAGAACTTTGAATTTTTTTACCAGTGTGGAACTTAGGGTAAGTCTAATGAGAAAACACTGAAAGTGTGCATTGTTTTAGATTTGATTTAATAACCAGTTATATATTTCTCCCCCAGGCTCTATGTGATGCTGAGGATGAGACTGATGTCCAGGCTGCTAAAATAGTCCATGCAGAACAGAAGGCTGAGCTGGCAGAGTTTGATGAAACCATTCCATGGGACGAGACGGAAGCTGCGCGCAGGGAGGAGGAGTCCAAGGTGGAGAAGGAACTCAGCATGCTGGAAAATGAGGTAAGCAAATGTATGTAAAAGCCTCCGAGATGTTCAAGTTTAATGTTAACAGTTTGAGCATTTGTTTCATGTCTCCGTAACTGAAGCCATTTATTTTCTCTCCAGTATCTTTCTTGCATTTATGAACATTATGCTGATATTTTGTAACTTGATCTCAAAACATTTTCTTCACTTTCAGCTGATGTCAGTTGAGCGTTATGCAGTCAAGTTTGTAGAATCCCAAATAGAACCCTTTAATGTGGAGGAACTGAAACAAGCAGAGGTGTGTATTAATCTAATGCAGACATAAAATTTAAAGTTTAATATCTATTACCAGAAGTCGTATTCGCAGGTTTAGGACCTCACATCTTTTAGTTGTAATTTTTTTTTCCTGGAAGACGTATTGAATGAAAAGTTGGTAAAATGTGCTGTATATTTGTCAATTTAGGATGCAATTGACTCGGCAAAGAAAGACTGGGAGCTGAACAGGCTGAAAGCATTAAAGGAGGAAGAAGAGAGGCGCCTGGAGATAGAGGAAGATGAGATGTTGTTTACATACTCTCGAGATGATGCTTGTAATCAGGTGAAAAGAAAGAAAAAGACTGCAAAGGTAGCAAGTAAAGATAGGGAAGATGTGTCCAAAGTGAAGGATGGAGAGTTGAACGGCTCCAAACCGCTGAGATTGCCAACCCGCCACAGTTCTCGGGCAGCTAGCAGAGCTAGCACTCCTAATCAGTCTGAAGCTGCTGGTGGTGGTGGTAGTAAGAATAGAGCTAGTAAAGACTGTAAAGGCAGTAGTTCTAAGTCAGAGGAGTCTGAGAGTATAGGTAGTCCCCGCACTAGATCCAGACCAGGGTCTGTAGACAATGAGGCAAACAAGACACCTCTTAGAATAGTGATACCAAAGCAAAGCCCTAGGTCCAATTCTGCTGTAACTAGTCCTAAGCAAGGTACAAAGTCCAAACTCCTCAGTCCGAGATCCTCCTCTTCTAATTCGACCCCCAAGGTCAGTCCGAGGTCAACCCCCAAAAGTAGCCCCAAGTCCAACATGTCTTCCCCCAAAGAGATTGTAGTGCCTGTATCCTGGTCCAACCCAAACTTAGTGATACGTACCAGGCGTGCTTCTGCACAGACTAGGTTCAGGCAGGACTCTGAGAGCAGTGAGGTGGATGTGGTGTCCGTATGTACTGATACCACCCCATCTCTACTGAGACCAACTCCTCCTGTTATAGGTGCAAGGAAAGTAGTTAAGTTAAGCCATAGTGCCCCCCAGTTACAGCTGTCCAACAGTTTGGCCGAGGTCCAAGAAGTATTGAATCATGTAGCAGAAGTCAAAGAGAGCCCTCCCAGTATAAAACGCCCTTTACTCACTCACCCTGTGTGTCCAGAGTTGAACAATATACCTGATAATACTGAGGTAGTTCATACAAACAATGGGGGACCTCTCCATATATCCACTGCTAGTGAAACTGAGCTTGGGAACCAAGACAGCAGTGCCCTTTCTCCACAGAAAATGTTAACAGAAAGACACTGGACAGATGCTCTTAACTTCAGTTGACTTCAAACTTACTCAAGTTCTGTGGAATTCTTTATTTTATCATGTTGAAAATTAAATGCTGTTGTAAGACTGAAGAACTACACATTCAAGAGAAAATTATGGTGGTAATTCAAGTATGTTGATTAATTTACTTCAGTTCAATTGAAAGAAAAGGGCAATAGCTGTTGTGATATGTTACAAGGTTCAACATTTAAGTAAATAATTGGTCATAAATAATTTAAGGTAGGCAAAGGCCTTGAGGAACTTCAATTAATGAATATATAATAGAATTGCTGTTGGACAAGATGATACTTGGTTATGTTGAGCCTTGTGTTAAATGAAGCTGTTGTTTTCTATATGAAGGCTAGAAAGCCAAATCTTGTTGAAATCGAAGTTCACTTCAGAGGCTGTTGTAATTTCCTGATCATCTGGTTAGAATATTGCATGCAAAAGTGAAGAAAAATAAAATTGTTTTGTTATCAGCTGCTGTTGTTGTATCTCATTCAATCTACTTGGTGTGCACAGAGGAACAGCTATATGATCCAAGGTTTCTATGGTGTCAGTATGTATCTCTTTCTCTTATTGTCACACTGGCATTTGGGGGCAGAAATGGTCACCTGAACTGTCAGTGGGAGTGGCAGATCATTGTGACAACTGCTGCTCATACTGCCAGTGGGAGGGGCAGTGCCACTCAAACTGCTAGTCTGTCATCAGTGGGAGTGGTCAGGCCAGGCGTGTTACATGTAGAACTTCTTGTAGCTTTACTTCCACCACATTTTGGTTAAGTTGGGTTTTGAGAATTTGTGCTTTGATTGCATGGCACCAAAGACCTTGTATCACGCTGTAGCCTCACCAGCCTGCCAAGGAAAGAGAATGAGATACACACATGCACAAACACAGGGGGCGCGTTAAGACCTGGGTACTGGATGGTTTCCCTTAATGGAATGATTAAACTAATCCTCAAAATCTCTCTCTATAGAGGACACAAACTATTCCTCTATACAAATATTTGGGAATGGCAGTTTACTCTTTGTGGGATGGGCACATTCATTTTCAGAAAAGAAAGTAATTCAAGGAAAAAAGTAAAGTTTCATTCATGCAGTTAATATTGTCAGTGTGTAAAATGCACTAACCACCACCCCCACCCCCCCCACTTAAAAAAATGAATTTTTAAAAATAAATAATTACATGAGAAACTGACAAAAACATGTTCTATGATTTAAAAATGGATTTGTTCAATCAAAAGAGAAAATGGCATGGGGGGGACTTAAGAAACCAGATGGCCAAAAAATTACCAGCACCTGAAGAGTTTCCTGCCATGCTTTAATGGTGATGTTCTCCCTCCTCTTCCTCAGGTATATGTGTGTGATTTCACTGGGGAACACATGCCGGTAAGTTAACACAATTAAACATCAGCATATTATTGAAAACAATTCTTAATATAAGTAAAAGGTAACCAAAGAGTATCCATTGTTCCTTTTACATAATGACATTTGCAATGAACAAAAGAATGAAAGCTATAATTTTTTCCTATTCAAAAAAGCAAATACAGTTTTCCTTATTGATACAATGGAAGAATTCTTCCTTTTGTCACATAAGACACCAGTAATTCTTACCCTCACTGAAATGTGAACACTAAAGAAGTGAGAACGAAAGCAATTCAAACTGGAATGTTTAACTATTGCAAAATATAAGTTGTACATTTTGTCACATGTATATATCTTTGTGTGCAGTCAGTGACAAAACTCACTTTGGAACCAATAGTGTTCAAAAGATTCAACTAGTATCAGAAAAAATTGTTCCACAAGATTTGTTCAAAACTAACAATACTTGGAAATTAAAGTTGACAAGTTAATATGAAGTCTACCATGTATTCAGATCTGGGTCCTTTTCACTTTGCAATGCTTAAACATAGATTGTATATGTTACATTACATTGTACATTATATTTATCCAGATCTGGGCCCCTCCCACCCCGCCCCAGGATGATAATGATGTGTACATAGACCAGACCCTGTGCTTCCTTTATGAGCCCAGTGTAATGACAGAGATGCAGCTGCCACCTATCTATGTGAAGAAAGAGCCAAGAAGAACACGCCTGGACTCAATTGCAGGTAAGTTTCACATATTAGAGCAAATAAAACTTCCTGGCTGCAGATGCTGTTAAATTCTCCAATATTTATTCTTTGTTATGTGTAAGTTTCAGTCAAAATATATCAGAAGTACAAAAATATATAGATTAAATATCTAAAAGCAAGTGAATTCTTTAATTTCTACATAACAAATCTTATTTGTAGCTCGTAAACACAAAGTAAGGAAGGACGAACACGCCAGAATACCTAGGTCTCTTTTCGACCGCCCAACTGCGGCATTGCTGAAGATGCGCAGAGAAGCCAAGCTGCACAAGTTCAAGCAGGGTCTGATACGGCAGCAGTACCCTGGTATCTTGCCACAGAAGGCCATGATAGAGCCTCCCACAGACCATCCTGAGTGGCTGATCCACGAAGACTGGGCATTGCTACAGGTGAGACAGTGGCACATCCAACACAGTGGCGTCGAGTATTGTATGTATTTTAAGCGCGGAACTGTCTACATAGACTTAATGATTTTGTGGCCCACAACTGTTTAAAAAAAAACAAGAGTTATGTTAAGTATAACACATAACTGGGGTAGCGCTAACACTCTCCAATTTAGCCAAATGCTAAAACTGACCGAAATTGGCTAAACAAATTAGAGTTGATTTGACTCATTTTAGTCAAATTTAAACCATTTGGACAAAAAAAGCAATGAAAAAGTAGTAATTTGGCTAAACGAAAAAAAATTGCTAGCGCCACCCCAGCATAAGCTTACTTAAAATCTGTCACCAAGTTCATCTCTTCATCTCCAAAAGTATAATTCCTGACATTATCTTTGGTCTCAACTTACTTTATGATCACATTGTACTCCAGGCTGTCCAAGCTCTCCAGGAACTGCCACTGAACCTAATGCCAGTGTCTCCAGCACGTATTGCTAACTGGGACCTGGTGGCAGATGTGGTTAATGCCTCCAGCCGTGTGTACAGGTCAGCCAAGCAGTGTAAGAACAGATATGATAATGTGATTGTACCCAGAGAGGAGGGCAGGATACTGTATGATATCAACCCGAAGAAACAGAAGAAGAACAAGGGAGTGTACAGGGTAAGATGATGGCAATGTAACGCAAAATAATAAAGCGAAATGAGGAAACTGTTTTTACATTACGACTTTGTAATATCCGATGAGGCTACAATTCCAACTGCCAAAGGCATAATTTTACACTCATTAAATTGAATCAGACCATTAGAAATTCCTGTAATATCCAACTAATACATCAGTAACTGACACAGTGTCTTAAATTGTTTCCAGACCAAGAATAACCGTCCCATGAAGACCAGCCAGTTGTATGCCCAGGACAACCACAATTCACTCACATCACTGTATGGTCTCCGCTTTGACTCTGTGCGTTCTCTGGCCACCAAGCGTACGCCCACGCTGCGGCCAGTGCTACAGAACCCTCAGCTGAAGAACCCCAAACATGCTGCTGTGTTATCAGAGAGTGGGATCAACTATGACACCCCTCTGGCTCCCATACAGGTGGCTGCCATCAGGGCTGAGAGGATTGCCAGGGAGAAACAGAAAAACCAGGTATGTGGACTGTAGATAAATGGAGCTTGATAGGAGGAAAGTTACACCAATATACCAGTTGGTTGCCTATACAGTGTACACAAAATGAGTGTGTGTGTTTTGGGCTCTGTTTAGTGAAACCAACATATTTACTTATTTAGACCAGCCTGTGTCCTTTAGACAAAGAACCCACATTAATAATGCATGACTAATTCATAATGTACATGTGACAGTAATTTCTCGATTTCTCACCCCACTTCAGGCAGCAGCAGAGCAGCAGTTACTGAAGCAGCAACAGCAGCAGGCACAGACCACCCAGGCCCAGCAGACTACCACTGCCCAGCAGCCGACAGTACAGACACCTGCTATACAGGGGCAGCTACAGACTGTGGGAGGAACCACTGCTGTACTGGTAAGTGGCAGGAACAATACACAGTGCAGGTTTTTATATTTAATGTGTACATTGTAGTGGATATATATCCTCTTTAGTCTAAATTCAAGTCTGATAGGTGTTTTTGAGTAGTTAGTTGATTAGTGGGCCCAGGAAGAGATGGTAAGTATATTGTGCCCTTTAAGTAGATGTAAATAACATTAAAGAACTATTCATGTAGTATACTTAATAAGATCTTGGAGCGTGTTGTGTTAGGCGTGATTGTGTTAGTTGTGCCAGTGTGATTGTGCTAGGTGTGCTGTGTTGTCACCTTTCCCTATGCTTTCCAGCAGAAGCCCCGTGTGGTAGGTGGTGCAGCAGCCAACTTACTTAGTGTCAGTGGTGCCAGTAGCAGCCTGGGAACCAATGCATTTCTTACTGTTAACAAACGCCTGACCCCTCCTACTGTGGCTGCCATTGTACAGCAGCCTGCTGCAAGCTTGGTGAGTGTGAGGGTGTGGCTCTTCATTTAGACGATCTTCACTCAATTTTGTTTTTTTTTATTTTCAGTGTCAAGGAAATCATTTTTTGGATTAATTTTCAACTTTTTTTCTGTCTCTTACATTTAAGCAGAATTTTGTTTTTGGGTTTTTCTGTTTTTTGTTTCCTGGTTATATTTTCCATGACCTACAGTGGTGGAGCTTTGAAATTTTTGATGACCAGTTCTGTTTGGATTGCAGGAAGGGAATTTGGTGAAGAAATCGGTTTGTTGACATGGAGAACTTTTGAACATTTCTTTCACATATATGAATTTACTAGACTAAGTTATACCAACTTTTTAAAATGTGAAGAAAAGTTTAAAATTTCTCCATTTAAAAAAAATGCTACACATTTGAATAACATGCAGTAATAAAGTATTTGACAAGAGTTGACATAAAGATATAACAACATATATCATGTTTCCAGGCTGCCAGTGGCACCCCAGTCCGCAGTCAGATCAGGACCACCAGTGCCTCCATGACAGTCCAGGAGATCTCTGCCGTGGTGGCCAGCCAGGCTCAGCAACAACAGCAAGCCAGGCCCACGGTCACTGCAGTGGTCACCACGACCAACATGACCGCAGCACAGCTAGTGGCTGCTCAGAGGATTGCTGGAACCACTGTGACTACAGTGTCTGGAGGTGTGTACAATGTCACTTAAGGCAATGCATTCTCTCCAGCTTCCCCATGCACACTAATTGTGTATTCAAATATTTTTGTATAATGCCCAGTGCTTATTGTGTTTTAGGTCAATATACCTCCAAGCATTTTTCTCCAGTATGCAGATGATGATGGTGTTATGCATAAACGCACATTTTAAAACTTCTACTCCAGGTACAACAGTACAACAACAGTTGGCCAGAGGACTGACACCTCAACAGTTGCAAATGCTGAGGCAGCAGGCCTTGCTGAAACAACAGCAGCAACAACAACAGCAGCAGAAGCTACAGGCAGCACAGAGGCTACAGGGAGTGCAAGGAGTACAAGTGGTAAGTTATTGTGTGGGGATAATTTATTGTGCTAGTGTGTAAGGTGAGTTTCAAGCAAAGAAGGCCATACGTGGTAAGTAAGAACAGCTTTTAGGGGGTATTGTTCCTTCATTGAATATAAAATGGAAAGTTTCATTTCAAGAAATAATGAACTGAAGAGGTATTGAAGAAAGTTTTTTTTCACTGGATTTAGGCGGCTGCTAAGTCTAAATCTCTCTCCCAGGCGGAACAACTCAAGCAGCAGCAGTTGCAGCGCCAGCGTGTTGCGGCGGCAGCCATAGCAGGACAGAAACAGGTAGCTGTGGGAGCGCCCCTGGTGGCCAGTCTGACACAGACTCAAGTCTCACAGACTTCACAGCAGAAAATACAGGTAATGCACAGGCAGCCTACAGGGTTTAGGCTTTGATGAATATGATGTAGAATAAACATTCTGTCAACAGCTTAAAATGTATTTTATCAAATAAAACATTTTCATTTCCCGCTTTTATATATTGAAAAGTTAAAAGTTAAATCAGTATAAACTGGAATAATGTGGTAGATAACATAATGTTAAAAAGCTGCATGTGACATTGGTTGCATTATGTTAAGCAAACAAAGAGCAATACTTTTGAAGAGCTGACCAAATCTCTGCATTATTATTAATATAGATATATGTATTCATGTATTACAGGCAGTCCGCCAGGGTCAGATAAAGCAGGCCACCAGGCAGATGACCAGTGAGGAGCTGGCTGCACTGTTCAGACGCCAGCAGCAGCTCCAGGCCCAGGCCCAGCAGAAACAGGCAGCAGCAGTGGCAGCCGCAGGGGGAGGGGTCACTGTATCACAGAGTGGTCTCACATCACAGGGACAGGGGACATCTCAGNGCTATGTATAACAATCTGAATAGGTTTCTCTCAGTCTTTCTGCATAACTATGTCCAAGTTTCTGACCAAAGTATCCTAAATCAGCCTGTTTCTATCCTATAGCGCTGACCACGACCCCACTGCTGAAGCCCGGGCAGACCACTCCACTGAGCACAGTGCAGATCATCTCTCACCAGGGTCAGCAGAAGGCAGGTCCCACCATACAGCAGATCCAGCAGATCATTCAGCAGCACCAGCAGAAGGCTCCTTCAGCCCAGGGCCAGTCTATCCAGCAGTCTGCCCCAACTATCATCACCCAGCTTGTCACCCAGTCCATGGCACAGATGATTACCAAACCTACCACCGCCATTGCTGCGTCGCCTGCCAGGCCGGGCACAGCTGTCACCATAGCAATGCCGGTTACCATAACAACACCTATGCAACAACAGACGGCAGGGCAGACCACGGTGACTGTGGTGGGCACCTCGGTCTCCAGCCTAGCCACGCCCACTGTGTCATTATCTCATTCAGTAACCCACACGGCAGCGCCCCCTAACGTGACAATTACTCAGGCGGCAGTGATACCGTCAGCAGCAGCGGCCACGGTAACCCAGGTCTCCGCGGCAACTGCGGCCGGGGTATCACGCCCAGCACAGACCCCGGTTATTGTCAGCGAGCAGCAGGGCACGCAACAGAGTCCCGTAAAGCAGGTTCAAGTAACGGTGCCGCCAGCACAGACTAGTAAACCGGAGACGGTGATCAGTGTGACGTCAGAGGCAGGAACGCCGGGACAGGCAACACAGCAGCAGCAGGGAGGGGACGCCGCTGCTCAGCAGTCTAAAACACCCTACGCTATGAGGCTACGGAATCCACCAAGAAATACGTAATTGTTTCTGTCGTTAACAAGTTAGTTTTTGTCCCATGCATGTTTCTTTTTAGGAAGAATGTTATTTCTTAGTCTCGTAGGTTTCAGGAAATGAAAGAACTTAACAAGGTAGCAAACATTAATGCATCATTTCTCCCAAAATAAAAGACTGAAATATATTATGGAGAATTTATATGTATAAAATGGATTTTGGAGATCATATGATGAGTAAAGATTATTGAGTATAGTTAGGTAAAATTACAAAGATTTATGTTTTAGGTTCTGTTGTAGGTTGTAGGGTTTGAAACCTGATAATGTGTATATATAAAAATTGTAAATTTGGTTTGTGTATATTTGCAAAGAGTACGTAGTTATTGTTGTTGATCGAGGTAGGGCAACATACGATTTTTTGTCACAAATTGAGTATTCACTCACAATTTTGTATTCAATTTTAACCTGTTTCTAAAGCTTTTAGTAGTTGCACAGTTAAACGAGTTGTCCAATAAAAAGGAAGAAATTATAGACCCCCCCTTTTGTTTGAGTGTTATGGGATTGTAGACTGGATAGCACACCGAGTACAGGATGAGAGAAAGAAAAAAAGCGATTTTCATCGGGTTTTGATTGGCAGCGTGTTGACTGCGTTCTATGCAGCTACTGGTTTGATTATTCAGACAGTGTTTTGTTTGTAACTATTGCAAATACAGATTAGGTTGTTATATTACAAATGTGTGAATTGGACATTCAGGCAGAAAGTCAAAATAAAGGTTAAGTATACAAGTTATTTGTTTTCTTTCAGCATAATTTATCTAGCGAGTTGACATTCAATTAAACGAGTTTCGCGACTCAAAATGAAGTCGTTTTAACGCAGTCTGTTTTGATCAAACAGATGGTCTTGAAATATGAAAATGTGAATTCCAGATATAAGGTCGTTATTAAATAAAGATACTTTGTTCGACGAAGCCTACATTAAGTCCGATGTCATTGTGACAGAAATGGTGGTCCACTCGGAAACGGCCCTTTTCCCATTAGGTTCTTTCTGCCGGAAACATTCGTCCCATATGCTTACTTTTATTCTTCCGGCTAACCCTATCGGAAAATATTCGCCCATTATAAACCAAATAATGTTAATAAGTTTGAACAAGTCTCGCCAACAGTTCATGTGTGCCTACCAAACTAAAGGTTAAAGATGGTCGCTGCACTCGCTTCGCATTGGTCGGCGACGGAGGGGGAACCAAAATTTACTCGCGGTACTTTATCGTAACGCGACCATTCCATACTTCGTTTTCTGTACATACACGTATGACGGACAAAAATAGGTAGGCCTATTTGTTAATAGCAGTAGAAGGCAAGGATAGGAACAATTTCTTCCAAGCTAGGCATTAAATAAATGAAAAATGATAAACCAGAAAGATTTTTTAAAATATATAGGTCTATACCTATTTGCATCACCACTCGCAAAAAAATAAAAAAATACGCGTGAAAAAATCTACACGATATGTCAGATTTTATAGACTACCGGTTTTACATGGTTCGAGAAAGTTGTAGCTTTAAATTTTTTGATCAGCATCTGAGAATGAAACCTCGTGTAAATCGGGTGGGGTCCAAACTTTTCATGTAAACTGGGCAGACTTAAGCTTTAGGCCTGTAACATTCAGATTCCCGGGATATACCAGTACCTTGTGCCCGAATAAATCAACGGATAAACCACGCGAAGACGTTTTAGGCGCGTGCGTAACGTCACTTGTCTGCGTCGATGACTAAAACGGCAGTCGTGTTATGGCTACAGATGAACAGCGTGCTGCTTCACTGCTCAGTTTACGTATTACTGTTTTACTAACAAAGTGAACGAAGAAATCTGATATTTCGACATGATAATACCACAACTTTACCACAATGTCATACGAATTCGTGCCAACTGGTTCTTTTGTTCATGCGTGTTCGGAGGAAGACATCAAGCGACTGCTGAACTCACACCCGGTGTTACTCGCCCTGAAACCGTCTGGAATACGAGTTGACAACTTTCTGATACACGTCACCGAAGCCTTGATCCCTCTACCAAGGACCATCACAGGACTGAGCCGCAACATTTTAGATTTCACAATTTTGAGATTTGTGATAACCCGCAACAACGAATACTTTGAGACATTGTCCAGAGCTCTCATCAACTCTGTTGTTCGGCATCTCTCTCAGATCGCGTTCAACCATGTGGTGCGCCTTGTTCCTATAACCTCTGACGAAGTCCTGAAGCACTTCCCTGATGCCCTCACGTCTGATTTGGTGCTGAATAGGTCTCTGGGACTCTTGATCAACGATGACGATACTGAAAACGAATTTTGTTTTGCTGACAAGACGATAGAGGCACTGTTGGTCGCCATAGACCAGCACCGACAAATTATTACCAAGTTACCCTCGCGGCAGTTTTTAACACTTCCATCTTTCCTCCGAGACAGCATGAACCGTTTACCAGCCACTAGCGACATCTGGCGGATGACATTTGGACTGCTGTCTGAACAAGAGGATAATGTGTCTGTCCAAAAAGAACTTCTGGGAGAGCTAGCTCACTTCTGTAAGAGCACTGGAATTATGAACAACATGGAACTCACACAATTCTTCGTCGAGCTGGTTTACGAATCTCAAAACGCAGGTGAGATGGCGACAGAAAATTTGGATGTCTTTACAACTAATCAGACCCTAGATTTGTCAAACTGTGTAATAGCGTTTCACAGATTAGCCTACGCTTTTCAGGCCACAGGATATTTCGTTGCACAGTGCATGAGCCTACACGGACTTCTGCTTCCGAATTCTGGTTTGAATGATTTCTTTGTCAGTATTTTCAGCGAAGAAGCCCAGCGTGCCGAAGCTGTTGGTTTAGAATTTCTAAACCTTTCTAACAACAACATCACAGGTCGGGGATTAGAAGCTCTAGCGCCAGTATTTAAGATATCCACCAAACTGACACACCTTGATTTGACAAACAACCGCTTGTCTGTGCAAGGAATTAAAGCTCTCTCAGAAAGCCTGAAGTACATGCCGCTGGTCTGCTTAAAGCTGGCTCAGAATGGGCTCCAGGACGACCATTTGTCTAAACTTGCCCGAAATCTGAAGTTCTGTTCCTTGTTAGAGAAGCTAGATTTGTCTCGCAACGAGTTCAGCGATCAGGCAATGCCGTTTCTTGTCGATAGCGCTTTGACACACCTGAAGAATTTGCAGCTTCTAGACCTGCGGGAAAATCGCATCGACAACCGCGGCGCTATTTCTCTGGCGTCTTTGCTGGAGGATCTACCCAGACTGTCTAGGGTGCTCCTAGCCTCGAACCACATCGGGGAAGAAGGAGCTTTAAGCATTGCCATGAACATCCCCAAGTCTCAGTCCTTACGGTACGTGAACCTCAACACCAATAAGATCAGCGACCAGGGCGTGGTGGAGCTGCGCAGGGCGGCCACTGCCCAGGGGTTTGTTAACGTTATAGCTGCAGGACAATGTTCTGACGCCGGCTGTGACGCCGCCACTGCAGTCAGGTCCCAGGTGTCCTCACACACCGAGCTTGAACGTCTGCTGCGCAGTGAATCCTCCGAGGACCTGATTGAACAAGCAGGCGCCAGGCGGTCCCTGACTAACTTTGTGGTTACACTTTGACTGGGTACAAATGTCGTGTGTGGGGAAACTTCTTGGTTGTGATCACTCCAGTGACACGCCGAGTGTATACGTATTAAACTGAGCACACGCAATGGCTAAAATGCGTTGTAGAAGGGGAGGTGAAATGACAGTGATTGGAAACAGAGAGATACATGTTCTCAAGTGAACATAAATGTTTCGCAAACGCCTTGATTTTATTGATTACACAACCAAGAGAAACTTTTTTTTTAATAGTTTTTTTGCATGAAGTTAAAATTTTTTTCTGTTGTCCTGTTTTTGTCCTGCCCGGCATTTCCTTGTTTATCAAGGCGTTCCTCAAAAAAAGACTACCCAAATGAATAGGTACTAAGACAATTAACTAGATAACTGAATAATCCAGGTGCATTTAAGAGCCTTACAATTGTAGTATATTAAGGTATTGACTTCGGAAAAAGAGCAGTGAAGATGTAAAGAACTGAGTAAATGTATCGGAATACTACTGTACATTTCCCAACAATCACTTGACTTAAAAAAGATTTTATTCCTTTCTCTTCAATGTACTTGTTTTCCCCAGGTTCAGTCTATTACTTTGATGCCTTTTAGCTTTTCTTTTTCTTTTATTTCATATCGTAATGTAACATTTCGGAGATTTCTTTGTTTATTTTGTCTGCAAGTCTCCCGTTTTTCCACCTCTCATCAAGATGCTGGTTTTGTGGCTGTTCATCTTGTCTGTGAATTACATCCCTACCCTATTGCTTTGTCTGTCTTACTTCAGTGTAATACGGGCCAGTGTCATGCTTTCAAAGTCATTTATCACAGCAAAAATTAAATCAAGTTTAGCAAGCAATTGTAAGGCACTGAATTATGCTATCATTTGAACTCATATGACTACTTTGCCTATTTGGGGTGTAGACAAAATAGGAAAGAACCTCTCTTTATGTTATCGAGAGTTTCTGCATTTCATTTGCTGTCATAGTAAAGGATGCTTATTTTTCTCCCTGGTCATGATTGCCATAAGTCATTAGATACATTAGCAAATACAAGCGGTATCAATATCTGCCGAGTTCCCAGTGTAATCCCCACACGAAATGCTTACAGCCTACCTTTAATCGGTCTGATCGACGTTTTTTTTTTTTCGTATCTTAAGACACGCAATAGGTCCACTACTTATGTGAAATAATTTTAAAATTGTCATCATTGAATTTTGTTCATTTTACAGAAGGATCAGCGGCAAGAGTCCTAAGAGCGATTATTATACTTGGGCGGAGGACATTAATCCGCGTTTTAATGAATTATCTTCTTTAAACTGAAAGTGAGCTGTGGAATATATCTATTGGAGCATTGCCAATATCAATACCGGACACAGTGAAAGAAAAAAGCTAATTATTTTTATATTCATTTTATTCAACAAGCGATAGAAAAGCGTTACATACGAGAAAAAAGTTCAAATTTGTAAACAATGAATATAATTAGTTAAAACCAATAATGTAGAAAAAAGGTATACTTTGAAGAAACTGAAATATAATTATCCTTCAAGTTTATAATCATAAATTATTATTCTAATCATCATTATTCTGATTATTCTAAAAAAGATTAGGAAGTGAAAGATTTATGCGAGAATAAGAACCGGGTACTTCGTTTAACCCGATTTGAATGGCAACTTTTTGAAGAACTTGCAAGCAAAGCTGGTGCAGCCGCTTGAAAAGGCAGAGCAGGTTCCTGCACTGGCGATGAGTTTTCTGCTAGCGCTGCCGAAACTCCAGGAAAGCTTCTCGGATTTTATAATTATTCTAATTATTATTATTCTGATTATTCTAAAAAGATTGGGAAGTAAAAGAATANTACAGATTTTCGACAACGTTTGTCGACTATGATTCCATACGACAACTGTAGCACGTTCATAGACTTGCCCTTCAAGAAATCGTCGGAGTAGCTCCTTTTCCAATTTAAATTGGCACTAGAAAATGTATGACAGCTAAAGCTCACAAATTATGCACGTAGGTGCTATGTCATGTAAAGAATTAGTGTTGTAAATTCCAATCAAAGCGGCTGCGTACATTTTGAGGTAGAACGCCCTGAATGTGCTGCTGTAGTTTAGATTTCGACGAAAACCGGAAGTGCGTCGTAACCCTACTCATTTGGACTTGGAGAAATTTGGACTGAGAAATATTTCGTAGCTTATACAAATGTTCAGAAAATGGCCATAGGGTCTACAGATTGAAGAAAATTCACTACTCAAAATTGAAACTGCGTTATATTATACAGAAAAATTGTACACTTCTGACCTTGACTTGTCAGTGTAATCAAAGTGTACTGAAAGCAAGCACGTGAATGCCGCATTTGATACTTTGTATCAGACGCTTCATTTTACTTGACAACACAGTGTTTACGATGTCACGTTCATGTTATATTTATTAATAAATAACAACGGCAATAAACTATTTTCATATGCATGAGTATTTCCCTTATTATTCTCTTCAATAATTTTGTTGTAAAGTTAATAGCTTACACCTTCTCATCAGTTTTAAAAATCTGAAAATAGCAGAGTATACTCACTTCAACTGTTAAACATAATGAAAGTTTTAAATGTACTTAGATGTCTCTTCACACAAAAAAAAAAAAAAAAAAAAAA